ATAGCAGAGGGAGCCATGTTGAGAAAATAGATAAAAGTTTGGCGAGTTTAAAGACTAGCTGCCAGATTGATGCTGCGCTTAATTCACAGTGATGCCGTATATGGCGAGATCCCCTCTCCTTTTTATAACCGAAGCACCACGCGGCCATGTAGCTATCCTGACACATGCCACATGATCCATTGCCAAAAGATCTAGGAGGCCTGTGATTACAAAATGGCGATTGATCCGACATCCGGTCTCACGTTCTTGATTAACCGTTGCGTGGGAGATATGGCGCCAACCCCCAGCCACATGTCGCGATCACCCCCCACAGTTTGGGTGTGTCGCATCTTGACAATAACAAGTCGTGATTCGGTCATCTCGAGCTAATGCATCCCGTATGCATAGTTCATATCTGAAGATTGGTTTGAAATGGGAACTGAAAGGGTAATGATTGGCCGTCTTGCCATGCTCCCATCCCCCCCAAACCGAATGGCGAATAGACGCTACTCTATTACGTGCTCTGAGAGGACAGACTTGGGAAACACTGCGCCGATAAGAAGCATTGTACAGTAAAACGGACTTGGCATTGATTAATCGATACGACGTTATATTCTCCAAGAACATGATAGTGAGTCCTGCGACTGAGCTCGGAGAGGTTCATCAAATTAGAGAGATCTCGCAAATGGGAGAGATCTCGTCTCGATTGCCCAAGTGGAATCCCTTTCCCTCCCGGTAACAGTAATGGAGAAACCGCAACCGCCTTGGATCTCTAGCGTACGCTAACATGTGTCATGCTGCATATTGCGGTCATCGGCGGCGGACTTCGCAAGTTGCGCCAGTTTGACCAGCGATGCCATCATGAACATATTCGTGGACACTCCTCGCCCGGGGCCATGGGTAACACTCCGCGGTTCCTTTCAGCTATCCCCACTCAGGAGCATATTTGGCTTTACATCCGAGGTTGTAGGGCAATATGCCACTTTCCAATGGTTGTCACTAAACTGGAGCCGCCGGTGTAGTCCTACACTGTATTTTCTTTGTTGATTTACACTGCTCTAGCTCGAGAAGACGCTGATTTCAATGGAATTGTCTCGAACGTAGCTTGTGAAGACCAATATGACGGGATCAATGCCCAATGTGATACATAATGCAAGTTAGCTGCGTGCACCTCGAGACTATTGGAACGCCGCATCACGCCTCCGAGAAGCTGAGGCGAACTGTTGGTTTATCTTATCCATCCCCCTTGTTTACCAGGGGTCTAGAATATCACATCACTGGTTCAGCCATTGTTATCGTGCGCGTTTGTCCAAATGTCGTGCTCGAACTCCCTCCCTGCGAAATCAGGATCCGCAAACCACCCAAAGACACCCTATAAAGAGGAGACGCCGATAAAGTTTAGAAACATGAGAAACAGATCTCATATCAAGCCGATTAGCGAATACAGAAACGACTCTCAATTTTTAATTCTCCGTTCACCGGGCTGAGTCATGTCGACTGCTTTCGTTCGGCGTGCCGAGCGCCCTGAGAAGGCATACACTTCCTCGTCCGACAACGGCGAGAACAAGAGTAATTCCTCACAGGTGTTGTCGGGTAACGAGAAGGAGCCTTATGAAGTACAGGCACGCTCATTATCTGATGTCCCTCCCCTTGGATCCACCCTTGCAGAGAACACCTTCTGGTGGCAGCGCTCCAAGACCATCACCGATGGGGAAGCCATCGCCACGCAAGAGTCCGTGTTCGACGATCCGGAGCTGGCGAAGCGGTACCAGCCCCGGGCAGACTGGGAGAACCTACACAGGTTTGATCCACTGGCGCGGTGGACGATCAATGAAGAGAAGAAGATAATCCGAAAGATTGACATCCGCATCATGATCTTCACTTGCATCATGTTCATTGCTCTCGAGCTGGACCGTTCCAATATCTCCCAAGCTGTGTCTGACAACTTTCTCGGAGACTTGGGGATGACTACAAATGGTATGTATCGGTATTATACAGACAGATATGCCACCAAGGCGCTAATATATCCTAGATTACAATCTTGGAATCACAGTGTTCAGGCTGTCGTTCCTCTGTGCCGAGTTGCCATCCCAGCTTATTAGCAAGTGGATGGGACCTGATCGTTGGATTCCTCTTCAGCTGTGCCTGTGGAGTATTGTTTCTGGGGTTCGTGCTTCGCCCTTCATAATCTTGACCAAGACCTTGCTGACCATCGCCTTCACGACAGGCTCAATTCTGGCTCAACGGAAGAACATCGTTCTTGGCATGCCGATCTCTCCTAGCAATTCTGGTAAGTCATTTTCTCCTCAACGATGTTATAGGGAAATATGGACTTACAGTATCCTAGCAAGGAGGATTCATCCCAGATGTCATTCTGTACCTAAGCTACTTCTATAAAGGAGCCGAGCTCTCTGTCCGACTTGCTTACTTCTGGACCGCACTTCAAGTCGCAGATATTCTCTCGGGCTTTTTGGGCGCTGGATTCCTTCAGCTTCGAGGCCTTCACGGCTTGGAGGGATGGAGATGGCTCTTCCTTTTTGAGGTATGTGCAGGACATTTCCCATGTTCGCATCATGAGCTAACCTGGTACCTCACATAGGGCATCCTGACTCTGCTTGTTGGCATTCTCGCCATTTTCTTGATGCCTGCAGGGCCTACTCAAACCAAGGGTATCCTGCGTGGCAAGAATGGCTGGTTCACTGAACGGTAAGTGAATTCTCTTTCCTAATAGGATTACCACCGCTGACGCCGAGAAGCGAGGAAACCATCATGGTGAACCGCGTCATTCGTGATGACCCAAGCAAGGGAGACATGCACAACCGTCAGCCAATCACCCCGAAATTGCTGCTACAGTCTTTGGCAGACTACGATATGTGGCCGCTCTACGCCATCGGACTCGTCTGGGGCATCCCTGTGAACCCCACGAACCAGTACTTTACGCTCATGCTCCGGAAGCTCGGATTCAGCGTCATTATCACGAACCTTCTTACAGTGCCGCCCATGGCACTCTCGATTGTCACCATATTGGGCATCACATACATCTCTGAAACTCTCAAGCAGAGAGCCTACGTCACAGTTATATCACAGATCTGGATCCTCCCTTTCCTGATATACCTCAACGTCGTCGACATCACACAGATCAATAAGTGGGTGGGCTGGGTCATCCTGACCCTCTTGCTCGCATACCCATCACGTAAGTCCAGACTCACACCAGAGAAGAAAAACAAGAAGTAAATTGTATAACATAACTAATCAATTGGGAAAACTATAGCGCACGCCATCCAAGTCAGCTGGAACTCCAAGAACTCGAACGCGGTGCGCCTCCGGACCGTGTCCGCGGCCGTGTACAACATGTCCGTCCAGGCATCGGGCATCATCGCCTCCAACGTGTACCGCCAGGACGACGCGCCCCGGTACGCGCGGGGCAACAAGAACCTCGTCGCGGTCGCGTCCATGAACATCGTCCTGTACTTCTTGACCAAGGCGTACTACGTCTGGAGGAACAAGAGCCGCGACAAGAAGTGGAACGCGATGACGGAGGAGGAGAGGAAGCACTATCTGGACACGACAACTGATGAAGGGAACAAGAGGCTTGATTTCAGGTTTGCGCATTAGACTTGCAGAGGAGGTGGGATGATGGTTGTTGCCGGTTTTAGACTCGTACCGTGGTGAGGGTTTGGCCGTAGTCTGGGGGTAGATGTCCATAGGCCGGTGGGGGGAGGTACTGTGACGCCGAGGAAACAGTGCTCGATTCTTGTCCGCTTGGGCTCGTGGAAATACCCGGGGTAGAAGAAATTGAAGTAGTTTGGCTGGATAAAGTCGATGTGGTCCACCCTCCTGTTGAATCGGTGGTCGAGATGCCAAAACTGTAGTCTCCGGTGCTGGTAGCGGGGTTAGATGATACCACAGTCCCCGAGGAGGGAGTGCCCCTTGAGGTGAAAGACGACGATAAGGTTGTTGGGGTTGAGGTTCCAGCTGAAGATGGTGTGGTGCTTGGGGTAGATCTCGAACTTGTACCAGGTCTTGCCGCGTCACTTGAGGTCGTTGATTCTGTGGGTGTTGACATTGACCCATCACTGGTCGTGCCCATCCCACTGCTAGTAGAAGTTGTGAAAGAAGATAAAATTGAAGAATTTAGACCCGAGGTCATGCTAGCAGAGTTGCTGTATGAAGAACTACTGCTCGAGCCAGAGGGGCTCCCAGTGGTAGTTGATGAAGATGGGGTAGTGCTAATAGTGAAAGATTTCTCATTTCCAGTGGTTGTGTACGTGGTACTGGATAGATTCGTTGAATCACTCAAGTCTGTTGACGTAGAACCTGTCGGCGATCCTCTAGATGTAGTAGATATTGGCGTTTCGTCTGAGGAAACCGAAATCGAAGAGGAGCCAGAACTCAGAGAAGGCGTTGCTGGCTGAGACGTTGGAGATGACTGAATATTGGATGTCGTTGAAATGGTGGTCTGGAATGAGGATGGCCTGGTTTCGGTTCTAGAACTCGATATATCTGTAGAAGATGCCGGTGTAGAGTTAACCTCAGTGGAAGGTTTGCTAGACTGAATCTGAGATGTTATGGATTGGCTGGATACCTGGCTGAAACTACTGGGCGTAAATGAGGAAGAGTTTTCGGTTCGAGAAACTGAGGACACCGGAGAAGATGGTGACGATGAAAGCTGTTGGCTTGATGAACCATGGATTGAAGTGGTGGCTGGCCGCGAATAGTCCGTTGTTTCTGTGGTTCTGGAATTGGAAATCGAATCGGTAGTACCCGAAGATTGAGATGATGGAAATGACGAAGCCCCTGTAGTTGAACGCGAAGATGTCTCTGAGGCATCAGAGCGAGTGCTCGAGCTATTTGGCGGTGTGGTGTCTGAGCGTGAGCTACTTGAAGAATCACCTCGACTACTTGTTGATGTAGAGGGTGATCTTGAGGTAGCATCTGGCATTGAGGTCGTCTGAATACCAGATGAAGACATCGAGGTTGTCTGAATGCTAGAAGAATCGGTATTAGGGCTCCTCGGGGTGCTAATAGTCAAGCTTGGTGAAGAGGAAGCTGGTGCTGTGAATGTGAGACCCGTCGTAGGCGCTGTTGGTATACTTGAACTCAGGTCTACTGTCGAACCACCGGGTGTAGTGGAAGCCAGGCCAGTCGTTGGTGCGATCGGCGTACTTGAAGTTGAACCTCCTGAAGTCGAACCTCCTGAAGAGACGCCGGGCGTAGTGGAGGTCAACCCTGTTGTAGACGCTGTTGTTGTGCTTGAACTCAGATCTGTAAGAGAAGTACCTGGCGTGGTAAAAGACAGGCCCGTCGTCGGCGCGGTTGATTCACTTGAAGTCGAATCTGCTGTCGAAGCACTAGGGGTAGTGGACACTAATCCCGTTGTGGACGCTGTTGATGTGCTTGACTTTAGATCTACTGTAGAGCCACTGGGGGAGGTGAAACTAAAGCCCGTCGTAGGGGCTGTTGGTGCAGTGAAACTTGTGTCTCCCGTCGACCCCGTCGGTGTACTAGAAGTCAGACCTGTCGTTGGCGCCGTCGGTGTGGTGAGGGTCAGGCCTGTTGTTGGCGTGGTTGATCTGCTGAAACTTAGATCTACGGTAGAAGAGCTAGATGCAGTAAAAGTCAATCCAGTGGTGGGACTTGTTGGAGTCCCTGAAGTCAGAAGGGTTGAGCTCTCAGACGGGTTACTGAATGTCAGACCGGTTGTGGGAGCCGTCGGCGGAGTGAAGGCCGAGCTTCCTGTAGACATGGATGGAGTAGTAAAAGTTAGACCAGTCGTGGGCGCGGTTGGCGTGCCTGAGGTTGTCCCCGTTGTATAACTGTTGGGTGTCGTCAAGGTCAGCCCTGTTGTAGGCGCAGTGGATGTGCTGTCAGATGGTATGCTGAAAGTAAGACCAGTAGTAGGTGCCGTAGGTGTGCTATTGCTACTACTGCTGGCTGCCGAAGGCTGCGTCTTCGTATTCGAGTAGCATGGTGTTTTGATACTCTCGGTGCAAGTCTCAACACTCGTTTGAGAAGTAGTAGAGGAGCCAGGCCGAGAATAGTTTGTGGACTCCGTTACGGACTGGCTTCCTGTTGGAGAAACACCCGATGTTTGAGATGTCCTGGAGATCGAGCCTGTTGGTGAGCTTGGATAGCTTGTGGAGCCAGAATTCGAATTGGAACTGGAGACGTTCGTGGTATGACTGGACCCTGTAGAACTTCCTAACGGGATAGACGTGCTAGTTGGAAGCGTTGCATCCGACTTCCCTGTTGTTGAGTTGTCGCTTTGGCTGGACCCTGAGCCGCTTGATGTACCGGGAGCTCCGGGACTTGACACGCTGATGGTTGTAAACTTGGAGACAGTGATAAAACTGGTCGAACTAATCTTTAGTGTTGTCGTCCGGTCTCCTGGGCTGGAAGTGAGGAAACCCGTACTGCTCATATCACGCGTGCCAGGTGGAGATGTATTCGGGGAGGTAGGCTTGGTTGAGGGGGCCAAGGAGGAGTTTGAGTTTGGTGAAGAAGTAGTGACAGTTGATCCCCCGCTTGGAGAAGACCCTGTTTGGGACGTATTCATTGAAGAATTTTCGGCTGTGCTCTGACCCGTCGACGTGGGGTTTGACAACGTGATTGAGTAGGAAGGACCCGTTGGAGATGGGGTCCCCGACGAAGCGGTAAGGGTGCTTTGAGTCTGGCCCTGGGACCCTGAGCTGGAGGATGTGGTAGAAGAGGAAGGACCTGGGCGGTTTGGCTGGCCTGGGTTGCTGCTCACAGATTGGGAGAAAGTTGAGGGTGATGAAGCCGACGGTCCGGGAGTAAATGAAGGCATGGTCTCGGTCCATATGGTTTCCGAGGGCATGGGAGTAGAACCAGGCCCAGGAGACGAAGGACTGATGATGCTTCCAGTCTGTGTAGTCGAAGTGGTGCAGATGTATACGGTCGACGTGCGTTCAGGAAGGGTAGAGTAGCATGCTGAGCCGCAAGCCGTGATAGTCTTTGTCACAGTCACCGTTCTTTCCTGTGCAAGAACCGAAGATAATCTGATAGAAATTGTTAATCGACGACACATTGGGAAAATTTCTTTCAAGCGAGTGCCTACCCAAGAGCTAGAAGCAGAATCTGCCATATCATGCTCAACATTTTGGATAATTGGAAGAAGACTTCGTCTGAATGAGTGCTGTCGAGGTCTCAGAGGAAAGAGGGACAAGTTCCAAAGTAAGCGACAGATTCAAGACCATTGCCCTCAACTCGCTGGTGTAAAGCATCATATATTCGCCAAACGGAATGGCGGTAGCTCACATACCGCCTTTATAAGTTTTGCTGTGTTTGATACACACGGAATAAATACCCCCCTCGGTCGCCACTTAACTCTGGCGTCTCTCCCGAATTGGTGTATTCAGCTGCATGGTAGTGGAAACACGATATCCCTAATCGAAACCCCGTCCTTTACATTTGCCAAGTTTCTTTGGACGAGCCTGGTCCTGTGATTTCTTTCTTGTTGGGGAATGGGCAGCACACACTCGTGAGCTTGGATGCCCCCGGTATGATCACCGCTATTAGTCCAAAGAAGGAACCAGAACAAATCCGATGTCTTTGAACTCAACTTGGCACGGCATATAATATTGCAGGCTACGGCATCGGCTGGGGGGCCCGAAGGAGCAGCTTCTGAGACATTTGGATTACAATGAGCGTTGCTGGACCTAACGCCCGAAATACCTAAATCAGGAAACGAAGTTCAATGATTATTTAGGCGAGGGCTTACTTTGAATGGGCAGAAATACTTTCCTGAACCCACCGGGACTTTGTAAATATCAACCTGTTGTCTAAGAAATATTGTGCTCAGTGTTACAGACTGGTGATCCGAGAGTCTAGTTTCCAGGAACCAATGTCTACTCGCTTAGTTAAAGCTTTGCCATAGTTCCTGATAGACTGATGATCTGCAATATCGTTAAGAACCCCTGAAAATGTCTAAGTCAAACACCCTCCAGCTCCGTTCTGGACCCAAATCGGGTGATACACCATGCGAAGCTGTGCTATGGATGAACTCTGTGGCTTGCTTCAGCTCAATGCAGCCACACGAGCCATCTCTATTCACGACATATATGATACAGGGGAGGCGTCGGAAAACGGTCATATTTGGGCAAAAAAAGCGGATACGATTTGGACAACGTCGTTTCTCCATAGCACTTTTGTAGCTATCCACGCACGTCTATTTGCCGTAACGTAAAGCTAGCTAGTACAATAATTTTACACTTTAGATGGATGCCTTGAGGACCTTGAAGGCATCAGCTGCCCCTCCCTGGAAGCGAGTCTCTGCTGTCTTCCAGTTGATGACATTCCAGATGTTCTCTACATAAGCAGCCTTTCCGTTAAGGTACTATCCAAGCAAACAGATAGGTTAGCTGGCCGGCTTGGAAATGAGGGCCGAGTTGAGAATGATTAGACATACCTGGAGGTAGTAGGCGTGTTCCCACATATCAACACCAAAAATAGGCACCTCGCCGCCCACGACAGGGTCCTGGTCCTTGGTGGACACGATGCGCAACCCCTGTGTGTCCTTCACGAGCCAGCCCCATCCGCTGCCCTGGAGGCCCAGGAGGGTCTTGGCAAAGGCCGCCTTGAAGCCATCCAGGCTTCCCCAGACTTTGTTGATCTCGGCGACGAGGAGCGGAGCGCTGCTGGGGTCGGCATCGGGGGAGGAGGAGGGGGCTAGGTTCTCCCAGAAAAGGGAGTGGTTGATGTGGCCGCCGCCGTTGAACTTGATGGCAGCCTGGAGGGCGATTTGACCGGCGATGTCGTTGGAAGCGACGGCGGAGGCGTAGGTCTTGATGGCGTTGTTGAGGTTGGTGACGTACGTTTGGTGGTGCTTGGAGTGGTGTAGCTCCATGATCTGGGCGGAGATGCTGGGCTCCAAAGCCTGGGAGTCTGTTAGCAAATCCAAGACTGAATGATGGGCATCACGAAACGTATGTTGCATGAATCTTGGGGCCTGGCTCTGAGACTTGCGGGGATTCTGTGAATTTCTGGCAGGCGACTGGACTTACATCATAGGCGTATGGAAGCGCCGGAAGGGAGTAGGTGCCGACAGACATGGTTGTGCGGTGAAGCGTAAGGTGCAGAGAGATCACGAAAGGGATCCAGGTACGACTTATGGGATTGGAGCGGGCAGAGAAAAGAAGATTGAGGTTGTTTGACGATGATGTTCTGGTGAAGGGAAGAGGGTTAAGCAAGGAGGAGGAGGAGGGGTAAAGGAGCCAGCAAATGACGACATTTGGCAAGTGCTACCTGTATCTTGCTACCAGATGTCTGCATTGCTTGATAGATTGGGAAAGCTCTCCCGGCGCGGATCTCCCATACGCCGGGTGCTGATAAATCTACTCTTCCAGGAGCGACCAATCAACCAGGTGCGTGCTCGCCCGCAGTCATTGCGTGACGTGGCCACTGGTATCTGAGTCCTCATAAAGCCGAAAGCTCATGGACAGCTGGGTTTGGTGCTCTGGCTGTGCTTTGTGAACCTGTATGAGCAAGTTTGAGAAGAGTGGTGGTGGAAACATGCTCAGATGTTGCCCAATGCGGAAATTGAGCTAGTTGTGATTGGGCGGGTGGAGACGAGGCGCTGACGGTGGCCATCAAGGTGCTCTTAGTCTTTACATGTGCTCTTAGATCGATTCTATGTTCTGTCACTTGTCTTTGATACGAGCTAGATTGAGGAGGACCGAGCAGGTTTCAGCTCTTGGGCCTCAAACGAGCAGAATCACATGATGACTCGAGCCAGCCAAAGAGGAGCATTAGTTTAAGAAGATGTACATGCTGCCCTCTCTTCCAATACTTCGAGCAATTACTTCTAAATACATTAATACATCACTCAAAGGCATCCATCATCTACCTTTCCATTAGCCTCAACACTATGTGCGGACCTGAGACTACGAATCGTCCTCGCGGAGGAGCCCTCGCTGCCCTCTCACCACCCTCAACTCCAGTCTCCCTCCCCCGTAGCACGCTCTGTGGCGACCTTGCCTTCCACACTCCTGGAAATCCCGGCAGCACAAACGCTACACATGCCAGACTCACACCAGAAGAGGTCTGCCACCACACAGCCCTGTCCGACCTCTGCGTCGTGATCCAGTAAGTGGGAGCACCTTGTCCCGGCATGCGACAGACAGTTACAAGACTAAAGCTAACGACTGTAGTTCATCCGGGGACCTGACACGCAACCCAGCCGACTGCGGCCTGTTCCGCCAATTCACGATCCCCGCCAAGCTCACGTCCCAGAATAGCGAGTACTACGAGCTCGCGCTGGAGAGCCCGCTCTCCCTCGCCGTGGGCAGCGACGGCATCATTGGCAGGCGCGTCTCCCTGTGCTCGGGGTCCAGCCTGGATCGGGACAACATCGTCGCCGAGGGCATCGTGGGCTTCAACTTCATGAGGCCGGCGCAGCCAACCTTATGATCGGGTCGGCCACGGCATGCATGTGACGTGTGCTCTGTACGAATAAAATACTGTCCAGCGACGCGTGACCCGAGTCACTGTGGTTCAGGACAGATATCTGTGATATCTGTGATTACTACGCCTCACCGTACTTCTCTCAAATGGCCGTGAGCAACACCACTTGCTCGGTAGAATTCGATAGCAAAACCGCCTCGTGTGCTGAACTCTGCTTATAGGCCAGCCAGCCCTTGGTAGCAAGGACGGCTCGGGTTTTCCAACAGGAAAGGGAAACGTAGCACGTGGGGAAGAATGGAGACGATACCTGTTCAGGTACCAACAAGCCAGTCAGGCACTGGATGCTCGAGGCTTTGGTCTTTGAAACATAGATAATAAATAATAAATAAATAAGCCAGCTGAAAGGCTACAATCTCGGCCATCAAGGTCTCAAATAACGTCGTTTCTTGCGAAAGCCCCATCTCACAATGTGACAACAAGGCGTAGCAAGTAGCACTGCACAATCACAATCTGGTTCAGGGGCAAGGTTCTTTTTCCTATGACACCCTACGCCTCACATCGCTTGTTCTCTCTATGGCGTTGAAACACGTAACAATGTCTGTCTATATCATGTCACATCATACATTCGTATCGGTCGTTATACGTTTCGTTCGTCCCATTCCACCCACTTCCGGATGATGCCGTCCACCTTCCTGACCGCGGCGCGTGTCGCCTCCACCTGGAACCACTCGCGGTGCTCACGCCCGCACGCATCGCACGTCCCCAGATCAGCTCGCAGCCCCATGCCCGCCAGCTCGATGTGGATGAGACGCTCGACCCGGTGCGCGTGCGGCGTGGGGCGCGGCGACGTTACGCTGCCTGAGGCTGAGGGCGAGTACGGGTAGTACCGCAGGACCTCGACGTCGCGGCCGCACTGCCGCTGCCACTGGACCATCCGGCGGTGAACGTTGGCCGCCCGGCCTATCTTGAGCACCATGGGCTTCCCGCCCGCGCCAGGAGCTGCCTTGGATTCGTTCTTGTCCGCGTACGAATTTACCACGTCGCTGGCTCGTCGAGATCGGGGTGTCGGGGACGGGGGAGCGAGCAGATCACGGGCTGCATCTCCGGGGACTGCCATGGACCCTGACGAGGAGGTGGGCGTGAGCCAGAACATGTAGATGTAGCCAGCTTGGTCGGAGTCGACGTACGGGCGGGCGAGCTCTGTCATGAGCGCAGAGGCAGTCGTGGGATCGAGACTATCGGGTATCAGGTCCTTCGCCTGACTGACGAAGGACGCCCCCGACTTGCGGGAGCTCTTGGATTTCTTCTGTGCAGAGGGGACAGAGGCTGACTGCTTTTGGACCGGTCGAGGCTGCGGCCGGACAGGCACAGCAGATTTGGAGGGCTCCTCGACGGTACCAAAGCAACAACAAAACGAGGCCTTCTGCTTCTGGGGCTTCGAGGGTCGGTAGCCAGAATCCTGCTGTTGGGTCTTGTCCGACTTTCGTTTCTTCTTATCTTGCAAGTCGATCAGTCCCAGGCGGTCAGCGAGCGTGTCCAAGCTCGTGCGCTGGTGTTGGAGGATGGGTGTAGCAGTTCCACGCGGACCAGGACTCGAGTGCGCCGACATGCTTGCCTGATCCTTGTGCTGCCAGCAGTATGAGTTCTCGTCGCGAGGATCGGGGGTCTGGGGCCGTCGCTTGCCATGTCGTGACGGG